CTCTCTCCCTCTCTCTCTGTCTCCCTCTGTCTCCCTCTCTCTCTCGCTCTCTAGAAAACTTGAGATCAAAACAACAGAAACATTCGTGTTTGACCAGATGACTTTATTTTGATTTCATTCAGATTCTCAGACTCATAATTCAATGAGATGTTTACATCACATTGAATCAGATGCGTTCAGGTGCTGCAGGTGAAAACTCCCAGCATGCTCCTGGAGTACACTGTGGTTAGTTGATGCCGAGGCGGAGCCACTGTAGGAAGAGAAGAGATCAGTGACGTAGAGCTGCAGGTTAACAGTGGCCTGTAGGGGGCACCAACGGAACAGATGTTACCTGCTGCAGGTTCAATTCAATCTTCCCCCGATTCTGCTGATCAAGAGTCCTGAACATTTCTGTGAGATAGACACAACTTTACACAACACCAACAGTCTCCTGTATACTGTCAGTGATTATATACAGTCAGTGATTATATACAGTCAGTGATTATATACTGTCAGTGATTATATACAGTCAGTGATTATATACTGTCAGTGATTATTTACAGTCAGTGATTATATACAGTCAGTGATTATTTACAGTCAGTGATTATTTACAGTCAGTGATTATATACTGTCAGTGATTATTTACAGTCAGTGATTATTTACAGTCAGAGATTATATACAGCCTCTGATCATCTTTATATCTCTCTGATGGTCTTGGAGTCATGTGACTCACTGTTCAGCAGCTCCAGTCGGATCAAACAACCAATGAAACAGTCGAAGTCGATGGCGTAACTCGTGTCAGAGAATCGACTGACGATCTCCTGGATCACTTCACTGTTCACCTGGAAACCTGCAAACACACAAACATATTCAACCTCATTAAGTTTGTGTTGTTGTTGTTTTACAGTCACATGCTTCAGTGTTTTCTCTTTGTGAGTCATGTGACACTACATGGACACGTGAACAGCTGCATGTTACCATGGTGATATCAAGCTCTAAGATGACACTGAAGCACTGACTTCAGACCAGCTGCTACGACCTCTGACCTCACACAGGAAACACAACAAGGACGGGGAGGTGATGAAACTGACATTGTCAACGCAATGTAAGATGTTACACGTAATAGTGAGGATCCACCAGGGGGCGATCTTTACTGGGACCATTAGAACCAGGCAGCACCTCCCGCCTTCACTCATGAATGTGGTCTCATTATCTTACCAGCTTCAGCCAGAGCCGCTCTCATCTCATGACTGCTCATCGTACCAGAACCGTCCGAGTCGTGACCCTCAAACACCTCCTGAAGAAGAAGAAGAAGATAATGAAGGAAGTTCTGCATCACATTTATTCACCAGCTCTCATTAACACATCCTATTAATCTGACAACAAGATTCTGAAGTCACAGAACTTCATTAAACAAAATGTCCTCACCAGGTATCTCTGGATCTTTGTCCACAGAGTGTGAAACTCCACCAGACCCAGTGTGGTGCTGCCGTCCATCTGAAGACCAGTTAAAGATCCTGTTCTGAGAGTTCACACGTTCTGCAAACACAAACTGAGTCCAACATCTACAGTTCACCAAAGGGATCAAATCACAGATTGAAAGATACGTCCATCAGGCTGATGATGCTGCGACACGTCTGCAGAGTGAATCCATCGGTTTTCACATCAGATCCTTCAGACAAACAACAGATGAGTTCATCAAACAACCTGAACACAACGTCTGAACCTGAACACAAC